AGTCTTTCATCTTTAAGCATTTCGGCTTTTTATTACTACTGCTTGTTTCTTTTCCAACGTTGACTCAGTGACCCCATTTGCAAATCAGTAAATCCTGATCAACACCAGCACGACCTGAATCTCCTCCATGCTTACTGTTGTTGAATCTCACAAATAATGATGCCTGTTGGTCGCTCTATTTGGACGCCATCGCTGTTGTATCGTCGCATGCAAACATTCTAAAACAGCCATTGCTTCTCTATATGTCAGCGGGCTAATTTGCCTAATCTTCACAGGTCTTTAGACCGTGGTGGAAACACAGACGACAACGGACTGAAGGAACCTTTTAGTTCCCTAATAAGCAGTTCCTGATACTAAAAGTTCCAGATACTTTGGATGGAAACATGACTCATGTAAAAGTGTTGTCTGATCACCTGCGTAACCTAATTTCTCTGAGTAACCTGGTTACTAAAAGGTTCTCTGTGAGTTTCTGACCTCCACAGAGCCCCCTGATTCATGTTCAGGTCAAAATCAATTATTCTCATTTCCACATACAGAGCACACAGGAACGAAATTTCCTTGACAGCCCAAATTCTTATTAAATAATGTGACATATTGCATGGATCTAAATCTTTACTATCGCTTTCGACACACAGAGGCTTCCACACCTAAGATTCAGCTGGGTGGAGCAGTTGTCATCCCGCATATAAACTAAGAAAGTTAAAATAGTAAAATTATGATTGTCAGAATGAGCCGGTTATCATGTCAAATACAGCTCCACAGACCTGGCAGCTTGGGTGTAAACTCTCAGTCGTAATTAAATTGTTGCTTTGGTGAACTGATCAAAATGATCCACCCAACTGTGAAGTAGTGGATAGACAGATCTTTATTGTTATTGTGCTCAGAACAATGAAGTAACTGTCAGTTTCTGTGCTTGGCTGTTATTAATCCGAGTGTTTCGGTCCCAGCTGTGCTTCTAGGTTTTAGTGCTTAATGTCATTTCAACTGGATTCTTTATCAGAAGGAAATGTTCTGTTTATTAGAATTAAAACATCCTTGAGGAGAACATGCTGCAGTTGCTGAAAGAAGACTGAGGGGAAGTTTATAAAAGTTTTTCTATACTGATTCTCTGCAGCCATGAACAAACCCTCAACGGGGTTTTAAAGTACAGTTTACATGAGTCACAGTCATAAGTAAATCTATAGAGAGGGATGTCACATGACTCAGTGTTCATACATGTTCCATAGACGAGTGTTAGATGTGTTTTTAGAGAACAAACTGTACATAATCATAGACATTGAGAAACTACATCCAGTGCTTTTCAAAGATTAAACTGCTTCCACCTGCTTTATTGCTCACATTTAAATTGGATGTTCCTCAAAGTGATGTATTTTACTATCTAACTGTCAAACTACCCTCTGTTGTTTATTTCACACTATTAAATCAAATTGTAAAACAAATTTAGAACTACTTGCAGGTTTCTTTAGATTTCATGTTCAGCACTTTTGTGGCTCACACATCTTCTGGCAAACATTACCCCGGAGTATGAGGTCTGGGAGGGGAAGAGTTTAAAGTAAGAGTTTTCTGTGTGTATCCAAAGCCTGATAGATCTCATTCCCCTGTGCTCCATTGTTATCCACAAGCCAGTAAAAACACATCAATGTGCAATAAGTGAGAGTCGCAAAATAAATCTAAGGGCTTGAAAGATAATACTTTCATACTTCCTTCTAATTTTAGCACTAATAACAAAATATGAATAGTTTTTGGCTGAGCTCAGACGTATGCAACTGGTGCTGAGGGGATTGTAAATAGACATTTTAAAAACGCCAAAAAGATTTGAAACCACTGCACTAGAGCACCAAATGTGGATTAAACTGCTGCTGAAAAGAGTCCTCAAATGCACCATTTCCTCCTGTTTGAGTGACGTTCCAGAAAAACTACATTGACCAGCTGTTTGAGGAAATTACTGAACCTTTTGTGAAAACGAATAATAATATATAAGTGTTTTTTAAAGTTTAAGTTTTCAGTAGGAGCCAATGGGGCTTGGAGCTGAAAGCCACAGACAGGAAGTCAGAAAGTATTCAAGTAGTGAGAGACAAAACTGACACATTGTTGGTTTTGGTCCTTTCATGGGATTTTGGAAAAATATTTTATAACACCAGACTGATTCTGTAAGCCTCCTTTCCCTAGAGACAACCTGTCTCCACATCCACTCTTGAGAGAATCTCATGCCAACTATCTTGGTGATTAGTTTTTTTTTTTCTCAAACACTCAGCTGTGGATTCACAGCTTTCTCTATTATTTGTCACAACATCTTCAGGGTCAATTTTCTCTACTCGTTTATTTTCACTTCTGTCTCCGCTGACTGAATCGACCTCCATCGTGACTCTTACATCCTCCAAAAGACACAGAACCTGTTTGTTTTGTATTTGAAAACTGGAATTCAATTGTATCACACCAATATCTGCCTTAAATAGTTGTCGAAAGGGTCTCTTGTGCAACATACTGCAGTATCTATTTTGGCACCAAATGTACCTTTAGTGAGTTAAAGTAAAAAAGTAAAAATAAAACTGTAAGCACAAATTTTGTTCTTTGTTTTCAGTAATACGATCTTAAAATTGAGGTAATATTTTAATGAGGTTTCTCGCTCTCAGAGTGTGACCTAGACCTTGTTATTCTAACCCAACTGTTAACAATTCATTGACACAAACTGGGTCAATATGTTAACTGTGTTATGTGTTAATGGAATTTTCTACGTATGTTAATGTAGCTGCAAACATGTTTTCAACGCGAAACAGCAACGAATCTCCAGTGCAGTTCAAAACACGATGCTGCAGTGACATTCCTACCCGGATATAAACATCAGCAATTGGATGCTTCAACTGAAGATCTAAAAACAAGTCCTGTGTGACTGTGTGATGGTCGGGACAACACGGAAAAGATGGGAAACATCAGAGAACACCGCAGTGTGTATGTAAGAGGAGAAAGAAAACACATCTGCTAGACGAGCTTCAGGGTGTTTAAATGATACATTAAAAATACATACAAATCATGTTTGACGTTCAGAACACACAGTTGGAATCAGGACAATATTGTTGACAGGGAGGATAATAACAGGGGTGACACGTCCAAAAGCACTTTAAAAGTCCTTAACAAGACCCCGAAGTAGTGCTTGTCCCCCAGTGCTCCTGGACATCTCCACTCCCTGTCGGTTACTCTGATTATGGGTCCGCTGTCCTCTGACACAGTATGAAATGTCCTGTCTGACCTGCTGACAGTCTCTCCAAAACGAGGTCCATCTCATCCTGATACAGAGAGTGATATAAAGTCCAGAGCAGGGCTGACGATCCCTCTCTACTGGTCGGCTGGCTGCGGAGGAGCTAGCGAGCTGATGAACGCGTTATAGTGCTCCGGGTGGCAGCGTTTGTACTCGTTGATTTTCCTCTTGATCTGTTTGGGCGTGTCCTGGTAATAGTTCTTCTCATCTCTGGCCATCTCCTGCAGGGACAATAAAGAACGGGACAGTTGGTTTGGTCCAAACTGAGACGAATATTCAATTGTTTTTGGACCTTTACTGCGAACTGAGACAAATACGGAACCGTTTCTTAAAAGTTCCTTCCTTCTTGTGTTAGACATTGTTAGAGGACGGCAATACAATTAATTGCCGCAGTCATACGCAGGTGACTGACTAAGCTTTTCAGAATTTAAAGTCAAGGATGGAATATTTTCTATTGAAAGATATTTTATTGCAGAAAAAACTAACACACTCGCACAATACCCTCCTGTTATTGACTGATTCTGACTTGGCAGTTCTCCCAGCGATGACTCAGTCCCGTTTAAAGCAACTGTTGAAAATCCATTTGAATGAGGCCCCTTTACTGATAAAAGCTCAAGTAATTTAAACTTCTGCCACCCGCCGCTCTGAGCAATAAAAACAAAAAAAACACACTAAGCTCTCAGCTCCGTTCGTAATGTGCACCAGCGTGTCCCTTCAATCTAAAGTCCTGAGAAAAACAGAAGTCAGCAGCTGTGAAAAAAAAAAAAAAGAATATCACAGAGCTGAAATCTTATTTGTCCTTCAGCTGTGCAGCTTTGTTCAAAACCTTTCAAAACCAAACAGAGGAAGGACACTGTTATCGGGAGAATGCAAGTTAAAAATATTCAACTGACAAATTAAATTTCCTCTGCAGCAACTGAGCACGTCCAGGACAAAGAAAACGTCTTAGACCTTGGCACCCAGCCCTTGTAACTACTGACATCTTAGAGTCCTTGAATGCACCATCACAGAAACTTTTCAGACATAACGCTTAGGTAAATATAAAACCTTGTTGTCTCATGTAAAAGATTAAGCTTCAAACTCCCCTCATCCTGGTACGGACGCCTGTACATCCTCAGCTGATTGTGAGCCATTGATCCAATTCCGCTTCATAAAAATCTGTTCTCTTTTTCCACATACAACGTGGTACTAAGCTTGTGTCCGAATATAATGAAGTCAGTGGAGAAAGTCAATCTTAAGCTTTAGAAAATGCCTTACAGTCACTTTACTCAATATAAAAACTGGAATAAACCATGTAAAACCACCAGTGGGGTCCTTTCATCTCCCCTGCTCTGTTAGCGCATTAACATCGTCCAGGACACGTTCAGGCTTTGGTTCCTGCTCTCACCTTGAAGTTGTCTTTGTGTTCTCGGATCATGTACTGAGCGTACTCGATCAGGTCGGAGGATAACGTCTTGGAGTCTTTCTCTGGACGATAGGCCTCCTCCTCCAGCTCTGTTCAAAACCACACGAACACATAGGATTTTAAACACATCTTAGAGGCTTCCGAAAGGCAGAACGACTCATTTCGTCACTTTGCTACATGTAAATATAAAGGATATGAAATATTTAACACTGTTAAAATTACTATGGTATAAATGGAGGAATAAGAGTCATTAGGCACTGGAGGCAGACTCAGAGCTTTTATGAAACTTTGCATAGCACGTTCTAAAAGTGAAGCTTTCATCCAAATTGGTCCAATTTGGCTGCAATCACATTTAGTGTCCGACTGAATAAAATGAAAAGGTCCTTGGAAGGGGTGTGAAACAGCCTTCATGAAAAGACGCCTAGCGAGAGTTGTGACACTGAGTGAAGGCGAAGGAAAACACTTCACTAAAGAAGTGCATTCACAATAGGGCACGTTCTGACTGGAAATAATGGCTGCCTCTGTGGGATTCACTCATAAAAGGCAACGCAAGCTTTCATACAGACTTTTTTGAAATGAACTCTGGAAGCCCCCCCCCTTCATTCTGCACTTCTTCAAATTTGTGTGTCAAAGTGGAAGGAGCTTTTTATAGTAGCTGTGTTGCACCATTGAAATCCAAATGTCCCCCCCCACTCCAAAATACATTTTTTCCTACTCATTCCAGTTGGATGTTTGAGCTTCACTGTGCAGAATAATGCAGAGTTTGACACTGCAAGGATGTTTTCACATGGAAAGTTCATTGATGAGTCAGATTTTAAAGCGGCTGGGCCTACGACCAAGTAGTTTGTGTATAGTGATGTAGAAATTTGAAGCCACAGGGCACATACATTGAGAACGGTCTTTACAGTGAAGTAGGAGACATCTTTTCTCCAGCAGGAAAAAATTACATATTCATAGATTCTGGAATTTTAAATGGAGGTAGAAAGAGTAAATGCCTTTTTAACTATTTTAATGTGAAAATTATACTTTCTTTGTTGGAAAAAAAAA